ACAGCTCTGGGCGACTGCATGGCAATTCATTCGCTCAAATCTTGGGCGACTTGCAACCTTGGGCGATGGTATTTCTGTGTTCATGGGCTTCCTTATTTGGGCCTTTATCCTGCATTGCTTGATTGGGTTGTTCTTTGGGCTATTTGATTTTGGGGATCTTCCAATTGGATTTCATTCCTTGGGCTATTCGAGTTGGGCTGAACTTTTTGTGTGTTAACACTATTGTTGTAGAATTTTAAGTTAATTTCAAAATCCATATTTTAATGTGAGTTTCATTGTTAAAATTAAATTTAACTATTATGTAATTAAGTAATCATTTCTTGTGATATCGACAACTCTAACTCATTAGTCCACTATATTACTTATACATGACCCATACACCTGCGTTATACATTTTTAGAGAACAAATTTTTTGTGCTGTCATCAGTTAATGTATTTACTTTGATTACTAAATTAGTTAATATTACTTTTAACAATTTATTATTATTGTTTAATTATTATTTTTTTTTGGGTTCCCCACCACATTTTTAATCACTCTTATGTTTGGTGTAATGGTGTTCTTTCTATGTACTTTTATATAGTTTATGTATGATTTTGACGATGACAATGTAACAAGATTTTGCAATGATTAATCTCTATATGGACGATGAAGATATACTTGGAGAAAATTCAAGTTGTGATATTTGTTACAAAATGTATTGTATTGGACAATGCTAGTATTCGTGTATTGATGCGCTCACGTCAAAATTCCTTTGGTTTAAATAATATTTAAAATATCAAAAACAAACACTTAGACAAATCTAATGAGGATTACATGCTCATGGAAGATTATGTTCCTCTCGATTTTGACGATGAAATCATGCTTGTGGGAGATGGTCAGCCCTTTATTGAATGAGATGGCACTTGCAAAAATTACAATGAATTTACCAAGTTGGATAAAAGCAACATATTTGTGAGAGATGCCATATACTGGAACAGATTTAAAAAGTGGGGTATGATCCATTTAAAAAGGCTAATAGAAAGAACTTGTCATTGTCTATGGTTTTGTATTGTAGACCTCTTATTCAATCTGATGAGATATCAACTATTGAAGAATACTTTTAAAGAGAATGACAAATTATCACAAAAAAAAAAACCAAACGAAGATGAAGCAATTAATGAGGATGGAATTAACATATATTCTTCCAACTTTATTGATTGCCTCACAAATTGATTTTGTGATTACGCCCGATGAAGAGCTGGAAGTCTACATAGTTGAATTTGAATCAGATGAAATGCAAAAATTTTTGGAGAATAAATAAAATGTGGAGTAAAGTCAAAAGAAGCAAGCTAAGCAAGACATCTAAATCTTTCTTCAGAAGTCCATGATATAAATTGTCAAAGTCGAGTTAGAGACTTTAAACAAGCATTTGTGGGAAGGCAATCCAATTTTCTTACTCTTAATTCTTTTACTTTTCATTTTTGTGATTAGATATAATTTCTGCATATTTAGATTCTTTTTTAAGTCCTAGCCTGATTATGGTTTCAACAAGTTTGATGGAGAATGTGTGGTTAAAAAAAAAAGATTTTTTTTATTTACATGTAATATTATTTTAATGAAAAATATGTTGTTAAAGCTAATTTAAAGTTTTTTCAATTCTAAAAAGCAGAAATGGCTAATGGCAATACAAGTTGAATGCTGCACTGTTGAACCACACTACTTTAAATTAATAGAAATCCTAAAACTCATTTTCCATGCCACTTAATTATGGTATAAAACCAACGTTCAGTTGAAACATCTTGTCAATTTTGACAGAGTAGAATAAACTCATTTGGTCTTTTAAGGAAGATCTAGTGAAAATATGACTAACCAAAGAGCTTTTTGAAACTTTCTTCAATTGCAATTTCATCATTCAGGTCATGTGGCAATAGTATCAAAGGAATTCATACAAAACTAAGTATCTATTTGATTGCAAATATGAGATCGAATTGAATTGCAAATGAATTTCAGAGAATTGAATTATCTAAAAATTATTTGCCTGAAAATTATAAATTATTGTGTTTGATTGGTATAATTTTTCACGTGAAAAATGTTGAAATAAAAGTGTTTTTTGATATTCGTTTAACTTTGTCTTCCATGAAAATTGTCAATTAAATGGATAGAATTTACTAGTATTGGAAATAAAATTTGTTTCCATTGTCAAAACCAAAAAAATAAAAAATAAAAAAAATCAAGAAAATCAACTATCTTTGGATGTTCGTTTGACTATATTTTACATAAAAATTGTCAATTAAAAGAAAATATTTTTTTTTATATTAAATCTTAGAATTTGTTTTCACTGCAAAAAAATAAAAATAAAAAATGCTACAGTGAACAAATCCTAGAAAACTTCAATTCCCAAGAAAAATTGGAAAATGTAATTCCATGAAAAAAATGGTATCAAACACCCTTAAAACTCAAAGTTGGAATTGATTTTTCACTTTTCCTAAAAAATTTTGGCCTATCAAACGGACCTTATTTCAAAATGCATTTTGAATGAAGAAATGAAGGTTGTATTTAGGGATGAGGAATTGATGACGATTTAACAAGTTGAAAATATAACGTAAAGGTGAGAAATAACGTAAAAAACAAAGAAACGGCACAGAGAGAGAGAGAGAGAGAGAGAGAGAGAGAGAGAGAGAGAGAGAGCAAAAGGGAGAAAATAAAAAAATGAAAAAATAACAAAAAATGAAAAGTCAAAAATGTATTAAAAACTTTTTTATATGCTGCAAAGAACGTGACTCTTTTGGAATTTTTCATCATATATATATTTGTTTATTTATTTCACTGCCTACGACACATATGATCAACCCGACACCACAACAATCACGTTTTAAGTAGCGTCCTTGGTACAACGTCAAAAATTATTATGCTTTGGTGAAGATAATAGACTACTCTAATCTTTCAATCCCATATGCATAGAAGCACCAGCTATGTACAAATCTTTTATTACCCCAATTGAACCTCAAGATTGGTATATAATGTCAGTAAGAGAGCCCAATTATAAGTGTCTGCGTTAAAAAGAAAGTTGATGGTGCTGTGCATCGGACTATAAATAAGTATTATTAGGGCTATGAACTCGACGACGATGTGTCATTGGTCAAATTGTGAGAAAGAAGATGGATACACCTCTACCTTGATGAGCCGTGCTTCAATTTTACATGCTTGTTCGGACAATGGCTTTTGAACACCAAGTTGTGGCCATAATGAATTGCCATCTAGAATCTGGCCCTTGTTTTAATGAGATAGGGGTTTCATTGATGGTGGATAGATCTTGCTTTTTCACCAAGAGTTGAGTTTCTTTAACAACTCAAAAATTCAAGATACGGATTATAATGAGCGAGCTACCCAGATATTCATATAACAAGTGACTACCTAAGCCAATCAAGAATTACGGGGTTCAATTAAAGATTTCGATCTTGGATTCTTGGGTGTCGTGGGACATGCTTTTTGATAGCGTCTCAAATACAACGTCAAGTGATCCTACCAAAAATTGTATCTTTACGTCGGCTAGATCTCTAACAAAAATATTTTCTAAGGCCTTGAACCACCTAAAACAAAGGCTTTCTCATAGCCCATGATGCACCTAAGTCGGTATTAGACCGTAAAATAGGTAGGTAGAATGTAAAAGAATTATGTATCTGGATAGTGAGCATGAGTATGTATTTATAATACTTTGAGGTTTAATCTTAAGAGGACTAGGACACCAATTAAACTATTCATCTAAAAAGTAGACTAACAACTTAACTGAGAGGCATCTATTGAAGGGATATTATATCGAACAATGGTACATAATATCTCTTGTGTAGGATCTTTTGGATGAAGCGAAGCTATGAAAGATGCCTTGTTAATCTAAGACTCGTTGTTTAGAAAATGGGTTGCAGTGGATCGCGATACCTCAACCCGATCATGGAGGGTTGACCTTTACACATGGCTTCTACTGAGGTGAAGACATCATTTCGTCTTCCTTTATTTGATGGCATTGATTAAGCTAGGCAAGTGTTGTGGAGTGTGAACCTCAAGTGGTTCTTGCTATTTTTTCTACTAGCAGCTACATGATCAATAATAGTAGCCTTGCAGGATGATACAAAACACAATATTTATCATATGAAAATGTAAAGAACACTATGTTAGCAAAACAATAAAATTAGTTTAAATTAAAGTCAAACTTTAATTTTAATTACACTTATATGATTCAAACTACTTCCCACTTATTAAATACAGATTTAAATCTATTTATAATTTCTCTCATATAAGCATATAAATATCTTTTTATCTACTTAAAAATGCGTTCATATTGGTAAATAAATTAATGCAAAGTCGTGCATTAGGTGTCGTGCTTGGACTGAGCTACAATTCTACTTGTCAATTTGGTATGACTGATTTTGACACGTCTACGCGAAATTGAAGAATATCACTTTTGAGGTGCCCATAATTTTAGCCATCTACAAAATACAAGAGAAAATTAAATTATTCGTTAAGGAGAGAGAAATAATCAATTATGTTATGGACTCCCATTAAACCGTGGAAACAAATATGAATGACACACTCCAATTAACCATTGTTTAGGTAAAACATTCAGTACTGTTTGGTTTCCCCGTCGTCGTACCATTGTTTATATAATCTATTAAATATATATATATATATATATATA